GAGTCGAAGACCTCCCCTCTTCTAATGGTGACAGCGGTCTGAAGGTTGCCCTTTGCGTCAGCCGACTTGAATATTGGTTCGCGCTCAGAGAATTCGGCCTCCCCAACGGACCTGATTATCCCGACGAGCCTGTGCGCCTCACGAGTCGATGAGAGTATTTTCCAAAGGCCATGGTCATCTCCGGCGGATCCCCGAGGAACCTATCCATGGGATTGGTAAAGAGAAAGTTCGAGGACTGCCACGCGTCTTTGACTTGCTGCTTGCTTGCCAGTGTTGAAGAAGAGGAGGGGGTGTACCTGCAAGGCACTCCGATGCTAAAGTAAGCGTATGGGCAGAGTGATCATAAGTATAGAAAAAGGGTAAGAATCGAATTACCTGACCCTCTTGTGAAAGAGGGTATTTATAGAGAGACCCCAACGCTGGGCCAACGGTCATTTGTGTTGGGCTGGATTTCCAGGCCCAACCCAGTGACTGCTAGGGCTTACGTGGCGCAGTGAAGACCAGAACGTGGTCTTCGCCCTAGCTCAACTATCCCATGATCTCCGGAAAGTGGGTTTGACCTGCTCTTTCGGAGGTGGGCATTTGGTTGGTGACGTGTCCCTGTGGAGGGGAGCACGTAGAGAAAGTGTGAAGAACACATTGTTCTACCCGCGGAGGGCAGGTTCGACGGAAGCAGTGTCTGGTCGATGGGGGAGTCTTGTGCTCGACACAGATGAGGAAGGTTCTGCCCGCGGAGGGACTCTATGCTCGACGGCTATGGCCCAAGCTGGATTGGGCTTGGCAGAATATTATTGGGATGGGCCTGTTCGGTCAAGTCGGGGCCCAGGCCAAAACAGGAGCCCTCCAAGTCGTAGCTCCGAGGGAGGGAGTGAGGACTTGTCGTCGTTATGCCGGGATGAAGAGATTAAAAAGAGGAGAAACCCTCCAGCTCGTGTTCCGCGGGGACGTGAGTACGTGAGTCCTTTCTCGTCGTCGGGTGCCCAGGGTTGAGGACACGTGTTGGCGGGGAGACGTGAGGGGACGCGGCTGTCAGCCTTCGCCACATGTCATGCGCCGGGTGGCTGCTAGGGCGGCTACCCTAGGGTACTCGAGCGCCTAAAGACGCTTCGAGTCCCGTGTTGGGGTATAAGTAAGCGAGCCCCCGCTCATTCTCCACTTTTCACCTTCTTGCTCTCAAACTCTCTGACCTGCCACCTTCGCTACCGTCTGATAACTCCGTCGCAGCAGCCGTCTCGTACTCTGCCACATATTGAAATATAGTAAGTTTTTTCTTCTCCTTTATTTTGTTTTTCCCGTTCGTTTTAGGACCGTGGTCAGGACATGTTGAATGCTCCGAGGAGAGGTGTGGGTCTCCGCCGCTGTAAGGGGCTTTCTAGGGTTTTACCGTGAGCGTTCCGAGGAGAAACACCTATTTCGATGAATGCCCCAGGGACAAATGCTTGCTCTGATAAACTCCCCGGGGAGAGACGCTTATTCCGATGAACGCCCCGGGGAGAGCATGTAGATGAGATTAGGCAGGCTTCCCGAGAGATGGTAGGATTCGGGTAGAGCCACCGAGGATGATGCTCGGTTTGTCCTCGTTGCCCTTTCACTTGACTTGCGGTGGAAGGGTGAATTTGATCTTTGTCATCAAATTCACCGTACCTTCTGATTTTCAGGTGTTAATGACTACGTTGGTCCCGGGGACAATGGTTGAGGATAATGAACCGAACGTTCCATACTTCGACGAGCGCACTTCGCCACGACAACAGATACAACAATGAGCTTAATGAGCTTAAGAGTTCCAATGACCATATCTGCTGCATAAGACTCATCATTTCAGTATGCTGAGTTTGGTGTTGTTTCTCTCTCTCTTAGCTTGCAGAGTAGTGTATGCCTTAAAAGCTTCATTTTGAGCCTCATAGTGTTCTTCCTGTTGAAGTTGCATATTATGCAACATAGCACGAATACTCGGCTCATCAGTAGAAGGTGAGGTGTACTCTGGTGGAGAATATGCGTGAAATGGTTGAAATTGAAGCTGGTAAGATGACTGATTTTGAGTCCATCCAGTGTGTTGCCACTCTCCCCAACCTTGATTATCATAGAGAATTACCTCTTCATTTCTATTCCAACCATAGTCTTCATATGAGTCATGTTCATGTACATCTATTCTGACCCAGTCGCCTTGATCTTCCTCCATAGGCTGAGTTTGATCATCATGATCTTCCTCATCAGACTCAGTGTTGTCACCACTAGGAGCTTTTTCAAGCGTACCAGTACCATCTGTTATAGCAGTTTCAAATTGACTACCAGGTCTCAAATTTAAAACAAACCTCTTTTCAATAGGATACCATAAGTGTCCCATAAGAGTGAGCTTTTTTTTTGTTGAAATTCATGATTTGGATTGATGGACATCATAGACAACCCTTCCACAACAACCTTTGCATTAATCAAGACGGACTGAATGGGAGACGGATAACTCAAGGCCACCTTGTTCTTTTCTCTCAGTGCAAAAATGCGACTAATAATATAGTAAGGCCAATTAACCTTGACTTTCTTTATGAGAGCATACAACAAGGCTACTTCGGCTTTGTCAATTCAGGAATATCCGCCTTTCTTGGGACGAATATTATGCGACACAATCCAATGAAGAACCCGGATAAGCGGATAAGGTTACTCTTTTAAAGCGCTTTTTTAAAGCGAATTTTTCTAAAATCCTATAAGAGCGCTTTGTTATATAAGCGTTGGCGTTGTTGCGCTGTTAAAGGCTGTTTTTGGCGTAGTGTTCACGGTGCATAATTAGAGAGATCTACAATGATAATACATTTACAAATGAGTAAAATGATAAATTTATCAAAACCTATAACCTAATTTTAAGTATCAACATTTACAAACTGAATAAATAAATATACAACATATTTAACTATAAGTGTGCGGATATTCTTCAATGGCAGGGAGTTTGTCTCTGAAAATCTCGAGTCGTGCTTTGCGAAACAATTTTCAAGAGAAGGAATTTCCTTACACTTGAAGATGATCAATTTTTTTTATCACTGTTGATATTTACGTAGGTGAGCGTATGAGAGCTACTGAAAGCAACTTGTTAGGTTTGTTTCATATCTCCAACAATGTGTTTACGCTAAAACCTTTAATGCCTAACTAAATCAAAACCAATCCATTTTATAACAATTTTTACATAAATTTATACTATTTTTTATTTTATTACAAAACCAATTAATGCATATATTGTTTAAAATATTTTTTATTTAAAATTCAAACAAAAATGGTTAGTTGATGAGATAGGGTAAAAAATAATTGATTGAAAATAATTAGTAGAATTAGAATAATAGAGATTATGAGGATTTTAATTACATAATATATGACTTTTATCGGTTAAATTTAATTTTTTTTTTTATTATTAATATTTTTGATGATGTTGATTCTCATTAATTTATTTATCTATATTTAATTTTAAATTTTAACGGGAGAAGTTCATAAATGATCAATATATATTTACCTATATTTAATATAAAATAATTGATATAGAAATTGAGATGATATTTATTAGATAATTATAAATATATTCATATTTATACTGATTTAAATATATAATGTCATTCTAAAATTAATATTTATACAAGGGTAAAAAAATATTTGTGCTCCAAACATAAATAAAAATATGTTTTTTTTTTTTAAATTAAAAAAAATTGGTTATATTAATTGCACCACCAATAATAGAATCTTAAAAATAAGAAAATTTATACACTTAAATATTAATTGCATTCAATTATTTTTGTTTAATGTATATTGTTTTCAAGTGAGAAGTTAACGATGATAAAAAGAGAAGTTACATAATTTAGTTATAATGGGAGAAAATTGTGTGTGAAATTGTATAAATATGCTTATTTTAATTATAACAATTTGGATGCGTTGATTAAATCTAACGGTTAATTTTATCGGTTTCACCGATGAGGGACTTAATTAAACCCTCACCCTAGAATTCACCTTTAAAATTTAATATTTTTCTGTTTTCTTTTTCGTTAAATTAAAAAGAAGTTCAAATTTTGTTATTTATATTTAAAAAAATAAAATAGAGAGAGAAAAAATTAAAATGAAAGTAAAAAATTATGAGAAAAAGAAATGTGAGAAAATTTGAAATTTGAATTAAGAGAAGAAAAGAAAGAGAGAGAAAGTTAAAACTAAAATGTGAAAAATGAATGAGAGGGCAAAAAGAGATAATTTCAATTTTTGTAACATTGTTAATAACAAATATGATAAAAGTACAATTTTTTAAAAAGAAAAAAAAATATTAAAAAATTTAGTGATAGTTTATTTTACTCCCTCCGTTTTTTTTACCGTCGTTTTAGAGAAAAAAATTTGTTTTAAAATAAATATAATTTTCGCTTTTCAATGTAGTAATAGTTGTTATTTTTCCAATTGTGTTATATAATTATTACTCTATGTATTATTTCTAATACATTAATAACACTAAGTAAAAGTCCAATATCCTATAAATATTAGTGTATTCTTTAATATGTGTACAAAACGTTAAACGACAATCATTTTAAAAGTGATCAGGTAAATCATATACAACTCTTAAAAAGCATGCAATTTTTCTCTATAGAAAATGTAGTAAACTTTGTGCTACATATAGTAAACCTTGTCCTACATAAATACAAATACTCTAAAAGTGTGGTAAAAATGAAAAAAAAAAAAAACTTATTTGTGATTAGGGTAGTTAATCACAGATAAATATGTAAAAATTTAGTTAAAATTTTAAAAACGGTCAAAAAGTGTGATTAAGGTGATTTATTTTGGATTATTTTACTTTTTTTCTTATTAAGGATAATATGATTTTCTTTCCCTAGGTAAACAGGGGTGTCAAGATTAAATATAGTGGTGTTTAGTAGAAGTATCATAGGCTTGCAATATTTTGAGCCCGATAAGCTTTTAAGCCATTGTATAAACAGATGAAACGCTAATAGATCTAGTAGGAAGAAGAGAGAGCGTAGAAACAGAGAAAAATGAGGAAATTCGATCCATGGCCAGTTTTCTTCAAGCGAGAATGGAAGAAGAATTGGCCTTTTGTTGTTGGATTCGCTATCACCGGAACTATAATCACCAAGTTTTCCCTTGGTCTAACTGGTAAATCTTTTTCAATTTATTTTATTTTATTTTGTTGTGAACGGTGAATTTTGTGGTTTTTGTTTGGAATCTGATTTGTGTTTTCTTGCATTTCTGCAGAGGAGGATGCGAAAAACTCCAAATTTGTTCAAGCTCATAAGAGGTAAGGCTCAAATTACCAAACCCTAGCTTTTTTGTTGGTTGCTTTCTGTTTGATTTGAATATGGATCTCGTTTTTTCAATTGCCGAAATTGAAATATTAGTTTACGATTGTATAATTTCTGTATTTTTTTTTCAGAATCTGGTTTTTCTAGGGTTTTTATGCTATATTTTGTGTTTTACACGTTGTTTTGTCTTAAGTTTTTAAAATTTTGTGATGATCAATCAATATGGTAGAACATATTTCAGTATTATTATTCTACTCTTAGCTCTGGTTCCATTTATGTCCTTAATGATAAACTAGAAATACTGGGGCACTTCGGATTGTTGGAATCGGATGGAGCGGAGAGGTATGACACCTCAAATCAGATGGAATGAAAATCAAAGGATTGGTGGAATAGGATGGAATTGATGCCATCATGTTCCATTCTGCTCCATCCATTATTTGCAAATCCAAACAATGAAATCTCACTATTTACCATTCCATTCTATCATGTACCACTGATCCAAACATACCCTTATATTTTCTTTGGATTGTTAGAATCAAGTGGAGTGATGTACCATTGTTTGGATCATTTAAAATTGGATGAAGTGTGGAGTGGTATGAAATCCATTCCATCACTTACCACCAATCCCAACATACCTTATATTTCTTCCCCTCAATTTACCAATCCCAACATACCTTATATTTCTTCCCCTCAGATTTATTAGGCAGGATGAATAACCAGGGTTGTCAAATTGCGGCATGGCGCCGCCACGAGTTTAAGATTCATGGATGGCGGAAGTTGCGGGTTAATTTTTTCAAAAAATCTGATAATTTGTGTCTGTGTATTTTTTTACCCTAATTATAATTCTGATCAAATACCAATACCACTTATTAAATACAAATAATTACTCTGATTAAATATATATAAAACTATAACACTATACAACCATTCTATTTTCTCGTTCTTGTTCTCCCTATGTGTATTCTTCTTCAGTTTTTTTTTCTCTTTTATTTCTTTATCTGTTTTATTCTCTTGTTTTTCGTGTGTTTATACATATAATGTTCTTTCTTATTCTTGTTTTGACTGCATGTTATGCTACTGCTGTTTATTTTTTTCGTTTTAGCTTTTTCGTCAACTTTGTTTTTTTAGTCCTATATTTTGTGTTAGTGCTCTATTATCACTTTAAGTTTTCTTCTATTTAGCGTAGACAATTTCTTTTTTCTTGTTTATGTTACATAGGTATTACTATTTTTATTTTTTAGTTCTGTTTTTAGGTATTCTAGACATGCCCCATCTATTTTATTTACCTTGTTAGTTTTATTTTGAAGAACTTGAAATATGAAATCTAGTTTCCTCCATATATAACTATGTTTTTTAAGTTTCATGAATTCAGTTTTTTGGTACTGTTACTGTATTTTGTGTATAAATGTATTTAATAATGTTTTTTGTTTGTCCGTCATGCTTCCACAATTTTCCATTTTGCCATCCGCCATATTTTTATGGCGGATTTTTGGTTCGCCGCTATTTTCTGCAATCCGCCATAGACAACACTATGAAGAACTTGTCTTGTCCTGTCCTAAAACTTTCAAACGACGGAACAAAATCGTCATTCTGTTCCGCTCCATTCTGATTTATTCTACTTTGATAATTCCATTTTGCTCTGATTATTTTATGATATCCAAACATAACCTTAAACTTGATTATGATTTTAAACTTATATTCGGGGTGGTTACGAAACTTTCATGTTGATGTATCAAAGTATTTAGTGCATAGTTAATTTAATATTATTTCGACTTTTTTTTCCCTTAGAAATCAATTTATGAAACTTTTCTGATTTCATGGATCATGAAGTTTCAGAAGCAATTTGAGATAATTCAGAGCTAGTTTAGGTTTATAATGATCAGATAGATGATAATGCAGGAACAAATATAGGGTAGTATGATTTAGTTTTTGCCCGATATTGGGTTTGCAGTTTGCTTGATAACTACTATAACCACTTTAATTTGCAGTTTGCTTGATAACTACTATAACCACTTTAATTGAGTGACCGGTAGTATCTCTTCATTTCAGTTTATTTTATTTTATTTTTTGCTTATGATTTTCCATGTGTCAGTTTTTGTCTCTAAGCTTGATAATCACTCTCTAATTATCAATGTCATACATAGTTTTGGATTCTGTTAATTGAATATTATGCATCTGTTGTGTTTTCCAGGTGATCTCTGAGAGGAAGAATGACTTTGGCTTTGCAAGCTGTTATAAATGTAACAAGAGAACTTTGCTTGCTTTAGTTTTTCAAATTGAAATAACCGAAGGAGATATTTTTACATACTCTCTTCATGTTCCTTTTTTTCTTTTTCCAGATTTGATTTTTACTTAAAATGCTCATGCTAAATTTATATACTATGCAGTTCTGAATGGTTAGATCCATGTATTTCATCATGAGATTTCTTTTATTTTGGACTTGGATCCTGTCATTTTACTTGAGAACTACGCAAAAATCAACCTAATCTAGATGTGCTTTTATAGTTAGCAAACTAAACTTTGTCACATCTTTTGGGTTCATAAACTTATAGTATTGTAGCAAATGTTTATCCTAGGCATTTGTTTGAAGGGAATTTCTTTTCCCGCACTTGAGTATAATTCACACCACTGAAAATTCAAAATCGCCCTTTGGTGCATCAGGAGATTCATATATATCCTTTGTAAATCAAAGGGCCACTCCATTTGTCAAAAACTAATATGTACTCCATACTAAATTAGAAAAAAAACACAGCTGGGCATTTTATGGACGTGCATATCTGGACATTTTATGGACGTGCATATTAGTGAACATTCTTTTTGGTAAAAAGTAGGGTGTATCTGGATATCTATGTTTGAAATATATCAAATATAAGTTCTTAGATACAATTCTGAACTAAAATTAAATACAATAGAGGTGATTCATTTGTTTGTGTTCAATTTTGTGAAAAATGTGTTCAAAGATGTGTCTTCAAAGTCTAAGGACATTTTTAGAGTTTTTCCAAAGATTTGTAAAATGATCGACATTTTTAGAGTTTTTTCAAAGATTTGTAAAAAGATGTGAGGGAAAAGAAATTTCCGTGCTTATGTTATTTGGAAACTATACGACCTCTGAAGCTCGTATGATTTTTATTTATTTACCTCATTGGACTGAGAGCAAAACTAGAAAGAAAATTAATTTAATTTGACATGTATTATAGAAGATAAGAAAGTAAGTTGTATTATTTTAATAATTTGGTCTGGGTATGAAATTTAAACATTTCTAGCAGCATTAAAATGCATTTCAACACTGTAGTTATACAGATTAGAGACAAATTTCTTCTAGCAGACAATGTCACTAAATTTTGTAAAATCATCTCACAAAAATTTGAAAATAATCTCTTTAGATGACTGAAAATTATGCGCAACTATTTTAGAATCTAAAATTTACTTCTCTAATATCCATTTGTTTCTATCGTTGTTTGGTTGATCAAATGCGTTTTCTCAATGCAGTATCTGAATATGACTTCATTCAACAAAAGTCAAATAGTATTGAATCACGGCGATTATTATATTTTTCATTGATATAAAACCTTCAGTGATTACAAATACTATGTACTCCGTTAACTAGTCATCAATGTCGAGTGTGGCAAGAAAATAACATGCTAATGTGATCCAACAACCAACTGCTAATTTCTTTGTCAGTCCTTAACAATTTCTCTCAAATGCATTAAAGTCAAAGAAATTGTATGATTTTACAAACTATAATGCCTCAGCTCCAATATGGCGTCGACCACCGACACAGTGGTCCTGACAACGCGGAGCTTAAAATCATACCTCAACTCCAATGTGACATCGTCCGTCGATATAGTGGTCCCAAAGACACCGAGCTCAAAATTATACCCATGCCTCGAACTCCAAACTAGTGTCGACCATAGGCACGGTGGTCCCGATGACATTGAGTCCCAATTTTAACAATTGACATATAAATAAACAATGACAAATAATAATAATAATCATTGTATATCAATTGCTTAAAATATAAAATACTTGACAATCCAACACTTAAAGTGTCCAAAATAAAATATAACATGATAAGTAAATGACATAAAGAACAAACTCTCACTAACTAAGCACATAAAAAAAAACTCACAATGCCCATACTCTCAACATGGTTTTTGAACACAATGGGCCTAAGTCCCTTAGTTAGGGGATTAACTAGCATGAAAACAGTACAAATGTACTCAACAACGATGTCATTTTTCTTTACAAGATCTCTGGCTGTCAAATACTTCAAATCCAAATGCTTAGAACCGCTAGAAGTTTTATTATTCTTGGAGTAGAACACACCTGCACTATTATCACAATAAAGCTTTGCAATGGAATCAACAATACGAAGTCTAGTCACTAAATTTCTTAACCAAACAGCATGAGTGGCAGCAGCATAACAAGCAACAAACTCTACTTGCATAGTAGAAGAGGCGACAAGAGTTTGCTTTTTACTCTTCCATGATATCGCACTTCCAGCCAACATAAAAATGTAACCAGAAGTAGATTTCCTATCATCGACACACCCAACAAGATCAGAGTCAGTATACCTAACTATTTTCAAGTTGTCAACTCTCTTAAAAACAAGCATATACTCTTTAGTTCTATGCAAATATCTCATCACTTTCTTAGCAGCAATCCAATGATCATTCCCAAGATTAGACTGGTATCGTCCCAAGACGCCAACTATGAAAGCAATGTCAGTCCTAGTTCATACTTGAGCATACATCAGGCTGCCCAATGCACTGTCAAAGAGTTTTCACTTCATCTCTGTCCACTCAATCTCATTTTTAAGACATTGATCTTTACTGAATTTGTCTCCTTTAGTAATTAGAAAATCTCATTGCTTAAAGTTCGGCATATTAAACCTCTCCAGAATTCTATCAATATAACCCTCTACGACAAGCCAAGTACACCACGTGATCTATCTCTCTGTATTTAAATTCCCAACATAAAGGATGCTTCACCAAGATCTTTTATATCAAAGAACTTGGTTAGCGTAAGTTTGGTCTCATGAAGTAGACCAAGATCACTACTGGCAAGGAAAATATCATCAACACATAACACAAGAAAGATGAGTTTGCTCCACTGACCTTAAGATAGATACGATGATCAACTTTATTTTCTTCAAAACCCACTGAAGTTACCACCTCATCAAATTTCAAGTACCATTGTCTAGAAGCCTGTTTCAAACCATAAATAGATTTTCTTAATTTACAAACAAAATGCTCATCACCACTTTTCACAAATCCCTTAGGTTGTTGCATGTACACCTCCTCGTTAAGATTACCATTCGGAAAAGCAGTCTTAACATCCATCTGATGCAATTCCAAGTCAAAATGTGCTACAAGGGCCATAACGATTCTAAAAGAGTCTTTAATGGAAATAGGAGAAAATGTTTCATTAAAGTCAATCCCCTCCTTTTGTGTGAAACCTTTAGCCATAAGTCTCGCCTTAAATCTCTCAATTTTACCTTTCGAGTCTATCTTTGTTTTGAATATCCACATGCATCCAATTGCCCTACAGTTTCTTGGTAACTCCACTAGTTCCCAAACATAATTATTTATCATGAATTTCATTTCATCATGCATTGCATCTGTCCACATCCTAGATTGAGAACAAGTAATAACTTCTAGATAATTTTTAGGATTAATAACAATACCAACATCATAAGCATCCTCACTAAGATAAACTACGAAATCATTAGGGATAGCATGTCACTTTTGTCTTATTGACCTTCTAACGTGAATTTTTTCAACTGGCTCATCAGGTTATGCAACCTCAATTATATAGAAGGATCCACTACATTTTTAATAAGTGATTCAACCACATCTTCAACTGGATGTTCAATCACATTCTCATTTAGAGTAAAACCTCCACAAGCAGTGGATGATTTAGCATTATCAAAATTAGGCAGTGACAAAGTAACAACATCAGACATAACAGAATCAATATTAGCAGATGTAGTGACAAGCTCAGCAACATCAAGCTCAAGGAATTTTGCATTCATGGACTCCACAATTTTATCACCTCTACCATTACAAAAGAATCTGTATTCTTTAGATCGACCCAGATATCCAATAAAAAAACGACTTGTTTTTGGGTCAAGCTTTGTCTCAAAAGGATTATATATTTAAACCTCTGTAGGACAACCCCAAACACGGAGATGGTTCAAACTGGGTTTTCTACCTGCCCAAAGCTCAAAAGGTGTTTTTGGAACTAATTTACTAGGAACTTTATTAAGTATATATAAGGTTGTTTTCAAAGTGTCACCCCATACAAATTTTGGTAAATTACACATACTCATCATGCTTCTCATCATATCCTTAAGGGTGCGGTTTTGCCTTTCGGCTACACCATTTTGTTCAGGAGTACCAGGCATGGTGTATTGTGGAACAATTCCACAATCTTGCAAGTATTTTGCAAAAGGCCCCACGTGTTGTCCAGTAGAATCATATCTACCATAATACTCTCCACCACGGTCAGAACGTACCACCTTTATCAATTTTCCTAGTTGCTTTTCAACCTCAGTTTTAAAGATTTTAAATTTTTCAAGTGCTTTTGATTTTTCCTTAATGAAGTAGAGATAGCCATACCGAGAAAAATCATCAATGAAAGTGATAAAAGATTTATTACCATAAATAGTGGGAGAAAGGGGTCCGTTAACGTCTGTATGAATAATTTCCAAAAGGTCTGAACTTCTTGTTGAACCTTTCTTATTGGTCTTAGTAAATTTTCCTCTAATGCAATCCACACAAGTCCCTAAATCATTGAAATCTAAAGAAGGTAAAATATCATATCTAATTAGTTTTTCAATTCTTTCTTTAGAGATATGTCCTAAACGCTTGTGCCACAACAAAGAAGATTTTTCTCTAACTTTAGACCTTTTAGCAATGTTACTTTCAACATTCAAGGATGAGGAAATCATATCACAATCCAAAGATAACTTATATAAACCATCCAACAAGATACCATTACCAACAACTTGAGAATTCAACATCAAATTTATTTTTACATCATAAAAGGTAAATTGAAATCCAAACTTATCCAAACAAGATACTGAAATCAAATTCCTCCTAAAAGAAGGTACATAAAATGTATCTTTCAAAACAAGTTCAAAACTAGTTCCTAAAACTAAGCTAACATCTCCCACTAGCTCTACCATGACTTC